TGAACAGACGGATTGGTTAAAGAAATATATTGGTTTTAACACCGCTAAACGACAGGCTGCTACTTCACAGTTCGGAAAAGACTTCTACAAACTACTCAACAACTCGTTCTTCGGCAAGATTATGGAATCTGTTAGGAAGAGGGTCAACATTAGATTGGTACAGAACGGAAAGCAGCATCATGGTTCCAGACTAGCAAACCTGGATTCAAGAGGTTCACGATATTTTCACCAGAGTTAGTTGGACTGGAAATGGGCAGGAGATAGAGCAAGTAGATGACTTTGTCTACCTTGGAAGCAGAATAATGAGTGCGGAGAAGGACTTTGATGTTAGGAAAGCAAAGGCATGGGGGGCCTGTCATCAGTTAAAGACAACCTGGAAGTCTGGAATGCGCAGGGACTTAAAGATCCGTGTCTTTAGAGCAACGGTTGAGTCCGTACTCTTGTACGGCTCTGAAGCTTGGACGATAAGCCAGTCCATGACTAAGCGGATCAATGGATGCTACACTAAAATGCTCCGGATGGCCTTGAACATACGTTGGCCACAAATCATCAACAACAGTGATTTATACGGCAACATCCCCAAGCCATCAGCGATGATAGCCTCCAGAAGAATGAGACTGTCTGGACATGTAGCCAGGCATGACGACCTTCGGGCAAACCAACTTCTGTTCTGGGACCCTCAGCATGGATACAGGAGACCGGGGAGGCCCCACCTTACGTTTCTGGACATGCTAAAGAAGGACACCAGCCTTTCCTGTGTTGAAGAGATAAGATCTGTTATGCTTGACCGCGACATGTGGCGAGGAATTGTAGCTGCTCGGACCAAGAAGCCGACTTAAGTCAGTCAAGTCAGATTCTGGTATGATGTTCTCAAGGTTAAATATAGTGACATTAAATTATGCTTTACCACTTTCAACAGACGACAGGAGACACCATCATTCGACCATCTACACTTCACAACTATGTCTATAGCAATGGCCGAATTCTACGATCTCTTCAATCCAATTCCCATATCCCTACCTAGTCTATCCACATCTAGTATCCAACCTCTACCCCTTGAAGCTTACATCAACCTGGACGACATCCTTACCCCGGCACGAACCTTTTAAAAGTTCTAACCACATCCCGGAGGAAGCCCATGATTGTTCACGAAGACAACTTATTTCAGCAACGATCGGAGGAACAGAAAAACAACATTAGTTACAGATAACAGATGTAACCTATACCACGCGAGGAATGGAAGTTGTCCTGATACCGTTACTACAGACAAGAACAGAAGTCTTCTTCTAAGTTTTAACGGGCCCAACAACCATCCGGACAGAAGCTCTAGCAGTCTAGAGAAACATAGGAAAAGACATCGGCTTCACGTCACTTACTCCGCCGATATCACGAAACCTGTTAGAGCTCTGGCAACAGAGCTTGGAGTAACTGTCGACAACACACTTCGCATACAACACTCTAGGATTAGAAAAAGACACCGAAAAATTGCCTCTGAAACCGGAATGCCTGCAGCAAAAGAACCAGAACCAGAACCAGATATATGTCTACTGGTCAACTTCATGTCGTCTGGTCAAGTTTTATATGTCTGGTCAACTTCCATATACGATCTCGGAAGGCAGACCTCCCCTTCGCAATACGAGCTCGGAATCGGGAGCTCCGCTATTCAACAGAATAAATGTGCACTTTCTGCCATTGACAAAAAGAGATATATCCTATCTGATTTAGTTAGCACAAGAGCTTTGGGGCACCACCTTAACCAGTATGAGATGCATTGTGATATTGATATGGTTTAAATTATTCTTAGGGAACTGCACTTTTGTTCTCATCTGTTCACAGGAACTTATATTATTTTACTTTTGTTCGCATCTGTTCACAGGAACTTATAATATTTTATTTTTGTTCGCATCTGTTTACGAGAACTTATAATATTTCACATGGAATTAATTATTCTAAGATTTCATAACTGTATTCATTTATAATTTGTATGTCATTTCAGTTAGATTATGGGGGTTTTTAAACTGCATCAGTTTATCTTATGAATATGATCCTTTTTTGTTCACATCTGTTTACATCTGTTCGTATCTGTTCACATCTGTTCACAGGAACTTAAAACTGTGCTAAGAGGCTTATAATATTTCGCATGGAATTAACTATTCTAAGATTTCATAAAATTCTAATTATTTTATAATTTCTATGTTATTTCAGTTAATTATAACTTAAACTGCATCAGTTTATTTTATGAATATGATACTTTTTACATCATTTGTAATGTTTTAATATCATTTCAGATTAAATTTTAAAGTGCATAAAGGCCGCTTATTAATTAGGAGTTTTCTAAGCTGTTTCTTTTAACAACAGTTTCTGACATTGTTGTTTTATTGTGTGACAAGAAATACAAACATGTAAGGTAAATAACTAAATCAAAATATACAATATCATAAAATAACCAATAAAATATCATAATTAAAGTGTCTACTTCTCCAACACGTTATGCACAAAGTGCACTATGTTCCACAACTTTGCTAAACTACAGTATCGAGGGTTGTGAGAGATTCCACACCAGGCTGTGGGTAGTTCTTTCGGGAACGTATGGGTTGATATCTCCTGGATATCATAAATATCTGCATATGGGAGGATATTTGTCAGGAACTTATGTGCCACATGTCCAGCACAATATATTCTAAAATCTGCCAGTGAGTAAAGGATTCCTAGGTATATGCGAGTAATAATCTAGGGAACCAGCTGCAAAGTCGTTAATAGTTAATACCAGCTGCTCCTAGAATCTTCTTTGCAAAGCTTTCCGTCTTTTTGTCCTTGGCTGTCATCTCCAGATCCGCGGGTTTGTTGAACACAAAATGTCTATAGGAGTTCTCGTCCTCCAATCTGATTGACATTTCTTTGAGAATGAACCTCGATGATAGGTTGATGCCATCAACACTCACAACTGCTAAATCAATTGAAAATCTAGGCAAGCTTTCATTAGAGGAGTCCTCTTTGAATCCGAAATGAAACTGTGCTTCCATAGCTTCATATCCTTCCATGTCTTGATCTAAAGCCTCTTTAGCGACTGGCTCGGGCACGATCATGGTACTGGTTAGGAGAGAACTTAAGTCCTCTTCGGTCTCCGGTAGCTGCATCGTGGATGATGCCACATCATCCTCGTCTGTTGTATCCAATATAAACCATCTTTCAAAGATAGCAGCCTAAAAAGATATGAAATAAATAAACATACACATCTTCTTGGCTAATTATAATTGCATAGTGAAATGAGACGGTCATACTTAAAATCAAATTAACTTACGCTTGCAATTCCGCATCTATAACGGACGGGGTTACTGCCAGTATAGGAGACCAAGAATCTTCTAGATCCTCCATAGGAGGAGTCTGGAGTACACTGACCGTCTGTAATAGGGCTGTAAACCGATTCACAACGGGAAAGATCTTCTCCTGTCACTAGATTAATCATATGCAGGCTAGAGATCCTACGCTTGCAAATAGGGCAACTGTTCCTCATACGCAATCTTAGAATTATACATGAGTAGCAGAATCTATGGAAACAGTGCTTCAGGCAAGTCCTTCCTTCAATGCTAATATTCTCATAACATGTATCGCATGATATTGACATGTTTTAAACGTTTATAGATAATAAAGCTGGATGGAACTTCCTGGATCAATAGCACATAAGACGCATTCGCTGCTGAACATTAGGAACATGTCAGACATCTTGAAGTAAAGTTTAGACGATCAAGCCGGGAATCAGGAATCCCTATTCGAGCGATGTAAAGCGGAACTGAAAAAGCCTTCGTCCAACCTACTCATTCACCAGCAGCCTACCTCACTCAACCAACCCCTTCACCAGCAACCTACCTCGCTCAACCAACTCATGCACCCGCAACCTTCATCCCTCAACCAACTCATTCAACAGAAAACTACCTCCATCAACCAACTCCTTCACCAGCAACCTACATCGCTCAACCAACTCATTCGCCACCAGCCTACCTAACGCAACCAACCCCTTCACAGCTTCTTCCAGCGACGGAGCCTCGACCCCCAATTTTCTTCAAGAAAACGAAGGAATCCATTTTCCCGCGTGAAACGGTCTGTGAAAAGACGGCGACTGAACCCCTGTTCCATCAGCATCGGGAAATCGACAAAACGACAAAATCCGTTTTCCTCCCCAAACGGTCTGTTAAAAGACGTCTTACTGTAATAATTAAGTAGTTTTCATAAATTAATCTCAGTCCTGCCCCATTTTCTTCAAGAAAAGGTGTCTATCCCTATTCGTACATCACATCCTTCGAAGTCTTTGATGAAACTGAGTTACCGCCCATCGAAGCCTACAACCAGTCCTGAAGTCACGCTATTCAAAGTTCTGAAGAAGTCCTGGGACACCTTAGACCTTGATGACCTCCAACTACCTTCACTGTACAGAGCGGACACCGAGGAGCTTCTAGCCTGGATAAACACCCATCTTCAGCCGGAGAACGTCGAAACCCTTTGAAGAGGCGACTACAAAGAGCTTCTGGAACTCGCTAAGCTGATCCTCGGAGGTTCCATAGAGAGAAAGAAGGGGTACACCTTTCACCTGACGAGACCTGGTGCAGACCACCACGCTCGCCATCAGTCCTCCCTGATATCAGAAAACCTACTCTTCCCGCCCTCGCCAAGGAATCCTCCCTGATAAATTTCGTTGGCCGTCGCTCCACCTTGCTCTTCAGTCTACTTGAAGTACCACACTCATTCTTGGATGCTGAAGATTGGATCTCTACGTCTTCCTACAGTAAAGCACGTAGTTTACTTCAGAAACTTACTCCTCTGAACGACTCCTCAGAACGGGCACTTGCCTTAGCAACAAGACTTAACTCACATATGACGAGAAATGAGGAGTCCTTCCAGGAACTAGTCCAAGCGGTCGAATCTCACCGGAAGAGCTACGGACTAGAAACTGAAGAACTGCAAAAGTGCGGGGGTTGATGAGATAACTAATGAGCAACTTAAGTATGGTGGAATTGCTGTTGTTGGCCAACTGCATTGAGTTTAACATTCCATTTTATGTTAATTTCATTGATTTTAAGGCAGCGTTTGATTTCATCAGAAGAGAGTTTATTTGGTCAAGCATGAGACACTACGGACTTCCTGAGAAATATGTTAGAATCTTTCAGGCATTCTTCAACGGAACCATGAGTGCTGTCAGGGTTAATGGTGAAATGTCTGATTGGTTCTCTGTTAATTCGGGCACTGGACAGGGTGATATCCAGGGCCCTCCTGTATTTAATTTTTGGCTGAACTTTGGAATCTTTTTGGCCAAGGTTCACAAGGCAATCAGTCATGGTGCTGTACTGCAAAAGGAACTAAAGGGTGCAGATGAAAATGTTATCATGGATAGTGACTACGCTGATGATCTGGCAGTGATGGACAATACTGAAGAGCCACTGATATTATCCCTTATTACACCTTTTATGCTGGGTTAAAGATCAACGCTAAAAAGACACAATGCATGGCGATCAGCAAGTGTGCGTCCCAGCGACCTTACACCGAAAGAGACAGTATAAAGCTAACAGTGGAGGGAGAACCTGTTGAACAGATCAGCAACTTTGTTTATCTTGGTGCCAACATCAGTGGGGATGGTACCATTGACCGAGATCTTTACATCAGGATCCAGCGTGCTAATGGTGCGTTCCATCAGCTTTGGAAGATATGAAACAGTCGAACTATAAGAACGCCCACCAAGATTCGTATCTACGAGGCTGCTGTTATTACCATTCTGTTATATGGAGCTGAAGTCTGGAACACAACAAAGAAGCAGATGAAACAGTCTGAGGTCTTCCATCTGACCTCCCTGAGAAGAATCTTGAAGATAAAGTGGTTCTTCCATGTCTCCAATGAAGAAGTTCTCAGGCGTGCTGGAATTAAGTCTACCGAAACTTTCATCGGTGCGGCTAGACTAAGGTGGTACGGACATGTTGTCACAATGCCAGAGACGCGGTTTCCCAGTTTCTTACTGGATTGGAAACCAAACTATGGAAAGAGACTGAGAGGACGAACCCGCAAAGGCTGGATGGCCTGTGTACTCGAGGATGCGGCTGAATTTACAGGTGTTGATAACATCAGCAGAGATGCAGTAAAACAGTTAGCTCTAAAGCGAGTGGAATAGAGGAACATGTTACGCCGTAGAAGAGATGTGTGTGATGCAGGCCACTCCAACGACTAGGAGGAGACCTCTTCATGTAGCATGTATGTATGACGTATCGATAAGAGATTACTGGACCTCGTTTGTCACGAAGAAATCATCAGATCTTATTAAAAGTGATCGGTGACCCTGTCAGTGACGAGCTATGAAGGAATTATTGGATCTCATCGATGCTGATCCTATCAGTGACGAGTTATGAAGAAATAAGAACCTCATTTAAACCTGTGAAGACTAACACTGTGATCAACCTTTACAAAGAAGCGGACAAGATCTCGTCAGGACCTCAGGAGAGAGAACATTCATTCAGCATTTTAGACCGTCTCATGACTAGAAACGGGTACCTAACACCCAGAAATTATTCCAACATATGTTGTAGTAGTATAAGTAATCGAAATAGGGAGGATAACAGAACAGTGCTTAAGTTAGATTTTATCTCAGACAGTATCGGTATCAGAATTAGGAATCAGAACAATTAGCTTACAATTACACCAGCTTTTCAGCTAGCTCAGGTCGCAACCTTAATCTACGCTTGTCCATAATATAGTTTGACCGTCCAGTTTTTGTTTCCATTGCTATCAACTGGATTTGTACCTTTCAGCCTACTTTATTAAGTACGTACCGTACAGCTAATTTAAAGGTTCGTACCGTACGAACTTCACACCTTAGTTCACACTCTACTTTCAATCCACGTGGATGGTTACATCGAACAGACCTGCCCGCTTTGATCAACTCTCCTGGAACCATGAGTATGATTGCTGTCTAGCTGGACTCCCTCGCTCTTCAAACGTTGCAGAACAATGGCATAATGGTTTCCGCAGTCTCGTCCAGTGTACTAATCATACCAAGGACTTACAGACCAAAAGATCACGGAAAGGCTGATTTTATTTATTCTCTCTTAACTTTTAGAATACTATCAAAGCAAATAATTTCATTTAAGTAAAATGTATGAGGGGTCGTTCACATATTACTTAATCAGCCGAGGGGGGGGGGTTTCAAATGCTTACGGTTGATTACGTGGGGGGGGGGGGGGGGGGGGTTGGTCGTTGATTACGTAATCGAAATTGTTTTACCAATTGGACAATTTTCATTAATTATGTAATCAAAATTTTCGTTTAGTAAATGCTTTGCGATTATTTCATTCATTAATCCGTGGGGGGGGGGTGTCTAATCTTGATTACGTAATATAGGAGGGGGGTTGGGTCTTGATTACGGGGGGGGGGGGGGGGGGGGGGGAGAGGGGGTCAAACCTTGATTACGTAATATAGGGGGGGGGGTTCGGTCTTGATTATGGTTGATTACGGAGGGGGAGGGGTAAAAATTGCCAAAATATTGATATACGTAATATGTGAACGACCTCTAACTGTCATAGAAATATCGTCCAATCGAAAATATAACTAAACTAGTGTAATGTATTGGAATTAGGTTAATTTTAAATTTTAATTAAATTAAAAATTACGTATCGGTATATGTTTGTCACTTAAAGTTAATATAATTATAACACCAGAAGATTGTTAACCTTAGTCATTTTTTGCCCCAAGTGTACTGCCCTAATTAGTAAATTTTTGCCCCAGATGTGCCCCAAGTGTGTTTAGTTTACTTCAAGTCATTTTTGCCCCAGGAAATTCAATTTTATACCCCAGGTGTGCCCCAAGTGTGACTAGCTAGATTACCAAATTGCCTGTTAGGCAATCTAACCAGGTACTTTCGTTTTGGATCCGAACAAGGATGTGGACTGTGGAGGAGCCCTTGTTTCTCAGTCATCTGGTTGCTACCTCGCAGCACCGGAAACTTGTAAGTTTTCCATCATCAATTGAACAATTATCAACGATGAAGTCAATTAAATCAAGATTATCTTTTAAATGTGATTATAGTTCAGCGAGTGTACTAAAAAATTTTGGCAGTATCGAGATAGCCCGACCACTGGTCGGCGGACCACTGTCTACCAGATCATATTACTGTATAATAACAGTATTCGAGGACGAGCAGGGAACCAGGGACATAGATGCATTACACCCAGGACAGGACATGGAGCTCTTTAGGAGGTTTTTCTGGAATAGGAAGTCTCTAGCATTCTCTAGGGAGGCGGTGGGTCCATTAATTTCGTCCATTAGACAGAAGAGTACCATGTCAGGAATTGGAATAGTTGTTGTTGTTGATGATGGCAACTGATAATACTTCACCAAAAACGAACGACTTATATACCACATTTTAATCGTAATCATTTCTTTCGTTGAGCAATCAATATTATTCGTAACTAATTATATCCGAGAGACCACATTTGAATCGTAATCAATAGTTTGATCCAGTAATTTACTACGCTACAATTAATTATGCTAGTCGTAACTAATTGCATCCAAGATACCATACATACCATTCATATGATCTGGTAACCAATCAACTATTCGCAAACACCTGTTGCTTGATTCAGGGGATACTGTTATTATACAGTAATATGATCTGGTAGACAGTGGTCCGCAGACAGCTTGGTCCGCAGACAGTGGTCCGCAGACAGTGGTCCGCAGACAGTGGTCCGCAGACAGTGGTCCGCAGACAGTGGTCCGCGGACCAGTGGTCGGGCTATCTCGATACTGCCAAAATTTTAGTATTGTAAATAACTGTGTTTGAGAAATTGTTGGAAAATTATTTCAAATAATTGCTCATGTTTGCTCAGTTTTTCCTTTTCAGCTGCTGACACATTGGAGGCTATAGATGATACAGCACTGTGAGGAGCTTGGTATCGACACCACGCCACTTACATCTTGTGGCTGTCCACGGGTACTTATATAATACAAACACAGGATGCCTCAATGGTAATATAGCCCTCCTTGAGAGAAAACTCGGACGGGAGCTGCAAAGATTCATTTGCTGCCTAAATCTTTGCAACTCCCGTCTGCTGCCTAGGATAGGATAAAGCTTCTGCATTTAGACATTTAGTCATTCAATTGGATGCATGGAGTGATTTCTCACACTTCTGACCCCAACTCATTCACCGGCGTTATAGGAACTCTCCTCGGGACAGCAGTTCGATCAACAAGGAAATTCCGTCCTCTCCAGGGACACGCATTCAAGCCCCTGGATAAGGACAACGTGAAGAAGCTGGGTTGGGATTAGCAAGTCTTCTACTACTATTAGACTGTCTTGCTGTTGCTGTCACCAGTGGTACGGTGAGTGTCCTTCAATTGGAGTTTTACCTCGACATTTTGGTTTTACTTATTCGCATTAACCCATAAAGAATTGTATTTGTGGATTAATTTACATTTACATACGGTACACATCAATATTAATACCAATACCTTACAATCTCCACTTTTTAAATGCAACTTATATAAACAATTTCAGGGGTAATGAGTCCGGAACTGGCCAAAGCACGAATTGATCCACTCAGCCACGCAAGGTGGATAACTATGCAGTCTAGGGTCCTACGACTGTACATGTCTGCAAATGCCCCGCTATGAAGCATGTACCCTAAACTTCGGAAATTATTTTGTTATGTGGTCAATATATATTAACCGCTTCATTTGAATATTTTTAAGTATAGAAGCTCAGTTGTTTATAACTATGGTGCAGTTTATACTGTTAGTGTTAACTTGTTCGACGAAATGACATTGGTTAAGAAACACGTAAAGCATAAAGGGTAAAGTTTACCGGAAAATTTGTTTAGTAGTTACTAGTTTTAGGAAATTATTTTTATTTTGCACAACACATAAAATTCTAATTGCCATGTTATCTGACGATTGTTTTAATTTTAGGTAAGAGGCTATATAGATAATATTTCTGAGCTTAGAGTATGAAATGTTTTGTCTTTCAGCTATTTTGGCCTAGGTTGAATGTTAAGGCCACTACTACTACTAGTACTAGTATTCAGAGTTCATAGAGCAAGCTAGATGGTGTGCCAGTGGTATACTGGTAGTTGGGTTTATTAAAATTCGGTAGTGTGGCATAACACGGTTAACGCACGGTTAAGGCACGGTTAAAGCACAGTTAAGGCACGGTTAAGGCACAGTTAAGGCACGGTTAAGGCACAAGGGTTACATTAGGCACTGTTCTTAAGGCACGGTTAACGCACGGTTAACGCACGGTTAAGGCACAAACTGCCCAAAAGCAACCATTATGGTCGCTTAAGGCACGGTTAACACACGGTTAACGCACGGTTGGGGAAATATAACATTTCCTTGTGGCTTGCTGCGTGCTGACACCACCCGCACACTTATCAATACATGCAAACTTTTGATCTCGATTATCAGCTGACATGGATCATATCCCGAAATAAACAAGCTCTGTCACTCTATCACAGTTGTATATAAACGCAGCTTTATTCAACACAATCATCCCATCTTTTCATTGTCTATTCTTAAAAATACTAGTACTACTACTTTACTCACCATGGTAACTCGAGGAAATTTTGGAATTCTTGGTGACGCGTTACCAAGAAATCAAAATATCTTCGTTTTTTTGCAAATGATCACTGAAGTATAAAGGGAAATGCGAATAATCAATAATGGGCATCATCACTTCCATCATGGCTTTCCTCTCTTATGAAGACCTTGTGAGAACTGGAGTACTGTCCTCAGAAGATCGTGCGCTGCAGTGCCAGTACTGCCTCGATGTTGAACTTCTACGACCTCACCAATTCTGTGAAGATTGTCAGAACTACATGGAGCTGAAGCCCTGTTCCCCTGCCATGTTTCGAGATGGATTCTATTGGTCCTGTGCTGGAGCTGTGCTCACCCTCTCCATCAGAACGGTCAAACGCATGGCTGTTGCTTTAGAATTAGAAAATTTACTCATAGCGGGAATCGCACTGTAAAATTTAGAGATCCGCGTCACATTCAGATCATGTTCCTTAGTTAACCACTTGTATGTTTATATGTTATATTTCCCCAACCGTGCGTTAACCGTGCCTTAAGCGACCATAAGCTTTTGGGCAGTTTGTGCCTTAAGTGACCTTACGGCCTCAACCGTGCCTTATGTAACACTTGTTCCCTAGCCGTGCCTTAACCGTGCCTTAGTTAACCACTTGTATGTTTATATGTTATATTTACCCAACCGTGCGTTAACCGTGTGTTAACAATAACCGTGCCTTAAGCGACCATAATATTAATGGTTGCTTTTGGGCAGTTTGTGCGTTAACCGTGCCTTTACCGTGCGTTAAACGTGCGTTAACCGTGCCTTAAGAACCGTGCCTTATGTAACCCTTGTGCCTTAACCGTGCTTTAACTGTGCCTTAACCGTGTTGCCACACTACCGAATTGCCACTTTATTAATATTATTTTGTATGGTTGATAGTATGGTTGTATGATTTCAGTGCAATTAAAAATTTCAATTTGTTATTTAAAATAGCTAATATTCGGCTTTTGACTTTGTTTAATTCGTGGACGATTCTTTGACTTTACTGTTGCAGACACGTACGTATTACTATTAACTGACTTCAGCCAATGTTGGTAATTTAATGGTAACGGTTTTACTTTGAGATTATATCATTTTCAGCATAAGCAAGCATTTCGTGGGATATTTTGATTGTAATATTGATTATGACTAAATTGAGTTATTGATGGAATCAAATTTAAATTTGTGTCCCGCTTAAAGAAGCCACTTCAAATCAACCAAGCGTTTTTATTTAATGACAAGATTATGAGGAACTGGATAGTATTAGTAATACGAGTAACTTGTTGTAGGTTTATAAGTTACCAATGACCAAGACGCGCGCCGAGCTAGTCTAGTAGTAGACAGTATAGTTGGACTCGTTACGAGTATCACTAACTAAGTAATTCGTAACACTAACGAACTGGTGACGACGCGTGTATTGCAACATTAATTAGCAAGCCAAAATTCAAAGTTTCGATTTGCACACTGTATCTCGACATATTAGTATTACAACATACACTGTATATCGTCACGCATGTTATATAAATGGCAATATATTGCCATTTGGTAGAATGCCTACTCGAATTCGATACGCTAGGGACCCCAGATACTACTCCGTATTTTTGACCGTAGAATTCATTAAAAGTGGTCCTGATATGAATGATTAAACTAGACTGAATTTACCCGGTTAAATCTAATTTCGGTAAAAAATAGGCCTTAAAACAATGTTTTTAAATTTAAGCAAGTTTGGGGTTCATTTCGTTGGCATATCAGTGCAGCAAAATTTGTATAAAAATGTATTTTAATTTATAAAACTAGTATAGCTGCACATACAAAATAGATCTATATTATTATTGTGCTATTAGTATTATTTCAGGATTTCCCTGGTCAAAATCCAATTGAATGGCGCGGCCCGATATAGGCCGGGTTGTCGAGATACAGTGTATGCATTTGTTTTTAAACCGTCCAGTTCCGCACGATCGAGTCCAACTAGCTCGGCGTCTTGGTAGATTATATTAACCTACTACAATAAGTACAAAACTTATCGGACGTAATTTGACCGAACATAATTTTGAATGGATATCAAAATAAACGCTAAATTCTTAACCCCCTCCGTAATAAGTTTTACAACTATTGTGTTAAAATTATACAAATCATTTAGAAACCCCTCCCTCCCCCCAGTGACTACGTATTAATATTATGTGGGTGACCCTTTAAATGTTAAAAGATACACGGCAATATGAAGGTGGTCCAAGTTCATGGACAAGTAATTTCATTTAACAAATTTTACAGATGTAGAACAATTGATTCAAACAATCCATTTTTTTTGAGAAATTTTCAACGTCATATCAACTATCAAAACTTCGATGAAAACCGTTTAACAATCACAATTTAGCTCTGTAAAGATATAATTTTTATTGTAATAACTCCTGAGCTTCTCCTTTTTCGGTCATTCAAAAATTCATCTTCGGATGAATCACAGCACTGAATCATTGAAAAAGTACCAAGGTATTTCAGATTATTGGCTTCACAACAAGTAAAGGTGAATCTTCCCTTTCAAAAATAAATCGATAATTCAAAACTTCTGAATTTCAAAACCTTAATTAGTAGTATATTTGCCCATGAAATTTTTACGATTTTTCGTTTCAGAATCCCGAAAGAATTCAAAAAAATCAGGAAATATTACACAAATAAATATACGAATTGATCAGCTCTCAATACATCCGTAAAATGGGAAAAAACTTATAAATTTCTATCAATCAATTTTAAGTCTCAAAATCATGAATCAAGTCTCTGGTGATCACAAACAATGACATACGATGCGGTGGAAGATGACCCGAAGGTCACGTGACTAGCCTGTCACGTGTCTATCTAGTCTTCTTGTCTTCGGAGGGTCCCGGAGGAGCTGAGGCTTGGCTACTGCTACTGCTCGGCTGAGACTGAAACCATGTTATCAGAGTTAGGATTGTGTCAACTGCTCAAAGTAAAGAAGTAAAGAGAAATATTATAGATTGGAATGCTACGCTGAACGATGTTAATTAATTATTAATAAGTTAATAAGTTAATAAGTTAATAAGTTAATAAGTTAATAAGTTAATAAGTTAATAAGTTAATAAGTTAATAAGTTAATAAGTTAATAAGTTAATAAGTTAATAAGTTAATAAGTTAATAAGTTAATAAATTAATAAGTGAATAAGTTAATAAATTAATGATTTAGTCAGTTGATTATTTAATGATTTAATAAGTTAACTAATTAATAAGTTAACTATTTGATCAGTTGATAAGTTAATGAGTTAATTAATGAGTTAATAAGTTATTTAATTAATAAGTTACTAACATTAGGATTGTTCACGTAGACTGTATTCGAGTTATCAGCATACATAGCCTGTCCAGCGGCTGAAAATCATACTGTTTAGGAATTTTATGGCAACTGATAATACTTCACCAAAAACGAACGACTTATATACCACATTTTAATCGTAATCATTTCTTTCGTTGAGCAATCAATATTATTCGTAACTAATTATATCCGAGAGACCACATTTGAATCGTAATCAATAGTTTGATCCAGTAATTTACTACGCTACAATTAATTATGCTAGTCGTAACTAATTGCATCCAAGATACCATACATACCATTCATATGATCTGGTAACCAATCAACTATTCACAAACACCTGTTGCTTGATTCAGGGGATACTGTTATTATACAGTAATATGATCTGGTAGACAGTGGTCCGCAGACAGTGGTCCGCAGACAGTGGTCCGCAGACAGTGGTCCGCAGACAGTGGTCCGCAGACAGTGGTCCGCAGACAGTGGTCCGCGGACCAGTGGTCGGGCTATCTCGATACTGCCAAAATTTTAGTATTGTAAATAACTGTGTTTGAGAAATTGTTGGAAAATTATTTCAAATAATTGCTCATGTTTGCTCAGTTTTTCCTTTTCAGCTGCTGACACATTGGAGGCTATAGATGATACAGCACTGTGAGGAGCTTGGTATCGACACCACGCCACTTACATCTTGTGGCTGTCCACGGGTACTTATATAATACAAACACAGGATGCCTCAATGGTAATATAGCCCTCCTTGAGAGAAAACTCGGACGGGAGCTGCAAAGATTCATTTGCTGCCTAAATCTTTGCAACTCCCGTCTGCTGCCTAGGATAGGATAAAGCTTCTGCATTTAGACATTTAGTCATTCAATTGGATGCATGGAGTGATTTCTCACACTTCTGACCCCAACTCATTCACCGGCGTTATAGGAACTCTCCTCGGGACAGCAGTTCGATCAACAAGGAAATTCCGTCCTCTCCAGGGACACGCATTCAAGCCCCTGGATAAGGACAACGTGAAGAAGCTGGGTTGGGATTAGCAAGTCTTCTACTACTATTAGACTGTCTTGCTGTTGCTGTCACCAGTGGTACGGTGAGTGTCCTTCAATTGGAGTTTTACCTCGACATTTTGGTTTTACTTATTCGCATTAACCCATAAAGAATTGTATTTGTGGATTAATTTACATTTACATACGGTACACATCAATATTAATACCAATACCTTACAATCTCCACTTTTTAAATGCAACTTATATAAACAATTTCAGGGGTAATGAGTCCGGAACTGGCCAAAGCACGAATTGATCCACTCAGCCACGCAAGGTGGATAACTATGCAGTCTAGGGTCCTACGACTGTACATGTCTGCAAATGCCCCGCTATGAAGCATGTACCCTAAACTTCGGAAATTATTTTGTTATGTGGTCAATATATATTAACCGCTTCATTTGAATATTTTTAAGTATAGAAGCTCAGTTGTTTATAACTATGGTGCAGTTTATACTGTTAGTGTTAACTTGTTCGACGAAATGACATTGGTTAAGAAACACGTAAAGCATAAAGGGTAAAGTTTACCGGAAAATTTGTTTAGTAGTTACTAGTTTTAGGAAATTATTTTTATTTTGCACAACACATAAAATTCTAATTGCCATGTTATCTGACGATTGTTTTAATTTTAGGTAAGAGGCTATATAGATAATATTTCTGAGCTTAGAGTATGAAATGTTTTGTCTTTCAGCTATTTTGGCCTAGGTTGAATGTTAAGGCCACTACTACTACTAGTACTAGTATTCAGAGTTCATAGAGCAAGCTAGATGGTGTGCCAGTGGTATACTGGTAGTTGGGTTTATTAAAATTCGGTAGTGTGGCATAACACGGTTAACGCACGGTTAAGGCACGGTTAAAGCACAGTTAAGGCACGGTTAAGGCACAGTTAAGGCACGGTTAAGGCACAAGGGTTACATTAGGCACTGTTCTTAAGGCACGGTTAACGCACGGTTAACGCACGGTTAAGGCACAAACTGCCCAAAAGCAACCATTATGGTCGCTTAAGGCACGGTTAACACACGGTTAACGCACGGTTGGGGAAATATAACATTTCCTTGTGGCTTGCTGCGTGCTGACACCACCCGCACACTTATCAATACATGCAAACTTTTGATCTCGATTATCAGCTGACATGGATCATATCCCGAAATAAACAAGCTCTGTCACTCTATCACAGTTGTATATAAACGCAGCTTTATTCAACACAATCATCCCATCTTTAAATTGTCTATTCTTAAAAATACTAGTACTACTACTTTACTCACCATGGTAACTCGAGGAAATTTTGGAATTCTTGGTGACGCGTTACCAAGAAATCAAAATATCTTCGTTTTTTTGCAAATGATCACTGAAGTATAAAGGGAAATGCGAATAATCAATAATGGGCATCATCACTTCCATCATGGCTTTCCTCTCTTATGAAGACCTTGTGAGAACTGGAGTACTGTCCTCAGAAGATCGTGCGCTGCAGTGCCAGTACTGCCTCGATGTTGAACTTCTACGACCTCACCAATTCTGTGAAGATTGTCAGAACTACATGGAGCTGAAGCCCTGTTCCCCTGCCATGTTTCGAGATGGATTCTATTGGTCCTGTGCTGGAGCTGTGCTCACCCTCTCCATCAGAACGGTCAAACGCATGGCTGTTGCTTTAGAATTAGAAAATTTACTCATAGCGGGAATCGCACTGTAAAATTTAGAGATCCGCGTCACATTCAGATCATGTTCCTTAGTTAACCACTTGTATGTTTATATGTTATATTTCCCCAACCGTGCGTTAACCGTGCCTTAAGCGACCATAAGCTTTTGGGCAGTTTGTGCCTTAAGTGACCTTACGGCCTCAACCGTGCCTTATGTAACACTTGTTCCCTAGCCGTGCCTTAACCGTGCCTTAGTTAACCACTTGTATGTTTATATGTTATATTTACCCAACCGTGCGTTAACCGTGTGTTAACAATAACCGTGCCTTAAGCGACCATAATATTAATGGTTGCTTTTGGGCAGTTTGTGCGTTAACCGTGCGTTAAACGTGCGTTAACCGTGCCTTAAGAACCGTGCCTTATGTAACCCTTGTGCCTTAACCGTGCTTTAACTGTGCCTTAACCGTGTTGCCACACTACCGAATTGCCACTTTATTAATATTATTTTGTATGGTTGATAGTATGGTTGTATGATTTCAGTGCAATTAAAAATTTCAATTTGTTATTTAAAATAGCTAATATTCGGCTTTTGACTTTGTTTAATTCGTGGACGATTCTTTGACTTTACTGTTGCAGACACGTACGTATTACTATTAACTGACTTCAGCCAATGTTGGTAATTTAATGGTAACGGTTTTACTTTGAGATTATATCATTTTCAGCATAAGCAAGCATTTCGTGGGATATTTTGATTGTAATATTGATTATGACTAAATTGAGTTATTGATGGAATCAAATTTAAATTTGTGTCCCGCTTAAAGAAGCCACTTCAAATCAACCAAGCGTTTTTATTTAATGACAAGATTATGAGGAACTGGATAGTATTAGTAATACGAGTAACTTGTTGTAGGTTTATAAGTTACCAATGACCAAGACGCGCGCCGAGCTAGTCTAGTAGTAGACAGTATAGTTGGACTCGTTACGAGTATCACTAACTAAGTAATTCGTAACACTAACGAACTGGTGACGTCGCGTGTATTGCAACATTAATTAGCAAGCCAAAATTCAAAGTTTCGATTTGCACACTGTATCTCGACATATTAGTATTACAACATACACTGTATATCGTCACGCATGTTATATAAATGGCAATATATTGCCATTTGGTAGAATGCCTACTCGAATTCGATACGCTAGGGACCCCAGATACTACTCCGTATTTTTGACCGTAGAATTCATTAAAAGTGGTCCTGATATGAATGATTAAACTAGACTGAATTTACCCGGTTAAATCTAATTTCGGTAAAAAATAGGCCTTAAAACAATGTTTTTAAATTTAAGCAAGTTTGGGGTTCATTTCGTTGGCATATCAGTATTTTAATTTATAAAACTAGTATAGCTGCACATACAAAATAGATCTATATTATTATTGTGCTATTAGTATTATTTCAGGATTTCCCTGGTCAAAATCCAATTGAATGGCGCGGCCCGATATAGGCCGGGTTGTCGAGATACAGTGTATGCATTTGTTTTTAAACCGTCCAGTTCCGCACGATCGAGTCCAACTAGCTCGGCGTCTTGGTAGATTATATTAACCTACTACAAGTACAAAACTTATCGGACGTAATTTGACCGAACATAATTTTGAATGGATATCAAAATAAACGCTAAATTCTTAACCCCCTCCGTAATAAGTTTTACAACTATTGTGTTAAAATTATACTAATCATTTAGAAACCCCTCCCTCCCCCCAGTGACTACGTATTAATATTATGTGGGTGACCCTTTAAATGTTAAAAGATACACGGCAATATGAAGGTGGTCCAAGTTCATGGACAAGTAATTTCATTTAACAAATTTTACAGATGTAGAACAATTGATTCAAACAATCCATTTTTTTTAGACATTTTCAACGACATATCATTGATATGTCGTTGAAAATGTCAACTATCAAAACTTCGATGAAAACCGTTTAACAATCATAATTTAGCTCTGTAAAGATATAATTTTTATTGTAATAACTCTTGAGCTTCTCCTTTTTCGGTCATTCAAAATATTCATCTTCGGATGAATCACAGCACTGAATCATTGAAAAGATACCAAAGAATTTCAGATTATTTGCTTCACAACAAGTAAACAGTAAAGGTAAATCTTCCCTTTCAAAAATAAATCGATAATTCAAAACTTCTGAATTTCAAAACCTTAATTAGTAGTATATTTGCCCATGAAATTTTTACGATTTTTCGTTTCACAATCCCGAAAGAATTCAACAAAATCAGGAAATATTACACAAATAAATATACGAATTGATCAGCTCTCAATACATCCGTAAAATGGAAAAAAACTTATAAATTTCTATCAATCAATTTTAAGTCTCAAAATCATTAATCAAGTCTCTGGTGATCACAAACAATGACATACGATGCGGTGGAAGATGACCCGAAGGTCACGTGACTAGCCTGTCACGTGTCTATCTAGTCTTCTTGTCTTCGGAGGGTCCCGGAGGAGCTGAGGCTTGACTACTGCTACTGCTCGGCTGAGACTGAAACCATGTTATCAGAGTTAGGATTGTGCATACTGCTCAAAGTAAAGAAGTAAAGAGAAATATTATAGATTGGAATGCTACGCTGAACGATGTTAATTAATTATTAATAAGTTAATAAGTTAATAAGTTAATAAGTTAATAAGTTAATAAGTTAATAAGTCAATAAGTTAATAAGTTAATAAGTTAATAAGTTAATAAGTTAATAAGTTAATGATTTAGTCAGTTGATTATTTAATGATTTAATAAGTTAACTAATTAATAAGTTAACTATTTGATAAGTTGATTATTTGATAAGTTAATGAGTTAATTAATGAGTTAATGAGTTATTTAATTAATAAGTTACTAACATTAGGATTGTTCACGTAGACTGTGTTCGAGTTGTCAGCATACATAGCCTGTCCAGCGGCTGAAAATCATACTGTTTAGGAATTTTACATACTTTTTATAATCAGGTATAAATTTCAATCAAATCAGCTTCAGTATAAAATCATTGAGTATAGTTTTAGTAAATTATATGAGAACTAATTAAATAGAGGTATTTGTACCTGCGTTATATGATGGTCCGGGTGCTCCGTAAGTTGGGTTATACGGCGGAGCAGCAGTTGAGGGTCCCGCATCATACTGACACAAGAGTAAATGATAATAAATACAAACTTTAAACAAAGATGGGAATACTTGCTTATATTTAATAAGCAGAGATTAAATTATATTTCAATGCACGAAGGTCGAGGTGGTAGTACATAATATAATGGCTGAGATATTCGAGGTTAAAATTAGCAAACAACTGACCATGTAGCTGGGAGGGGCGGTGTAGTTGGATGGGGGAGGAGCGGAACTGTCGTATCCGGGAGGAGGGGGAGGGGGAGGATACGCTCCTGGAGGTACAGCGTAACCTGGTCCAGGTTGTGGAGCGTACCCTGGTCCAGGTTGTGGAGCGTATCCTGGTCCAGGTTGAGCGTATCCTGGTCCAGGTTGTGGAGCGTACCTGAGAAGAAGTCAAACTTTACTTTAACAAGTCCACTCTTGTAAATCTGAGTCTCAGATTTTGCATAAAAATTTTAATCTTGGGGGTTTCAAAGCACAATAATAAACAGATCAGAAATAAGTGTAAGATAATTAATTAACAAACTAACCCGTATGGAGGTGCGTTTCCATTTTCGTTGTAGGGAGCTGGAGTTGGGTTGTAGTCAAATGAATCGTATGTTGGTGGTAGTTCTGTGGGGGCTGCTCCGCCTGATATAATAACGTGAGGGATATTGTAAATAATCTGATCTCAGTGGATCGAAAATAAACGAAGTTTACTTTTTTAGTTGGGACCTGTGACTTAGGACTTCATTAAAGTAGAATATCTCAATCAAACAAAACCACGGTTAAATGGTCAAAATGGCGCCGATGACCCACCTTGTTGCATGTGACGAAGATGTTTCCCAAACTGTATAGCGCCACCAGAACTGAAAATTAACTTAAGTTTTGCGGTACCATCCCAGCCTCCGCCTGGTTCGGCTCGCACGATACTTTTTACGTTGTTCGCTCCGAACAGAGGTTGTTCCAGCTTAAAAGTTGGCAGTTTTAAGAGCATCGAGCAAGCGAATCAAAGATCAGATCATACAGTCAATCGTCTTGTTTTTCTGTGGCTGGTCACATGCTTTACAAAATAAATAAAGAACGATGTGGAAAAATTCTTCAGATTATTACCTCTACATTGGAAATGGACCCAAAGTCAGCGGAAAAAGAGTGCAAGTTTTTGGAATCCTTAGAAAGGAATATAACCCGTCGGTTGGTTAGGTAGATCTCCCCAGCAGCACTCTTAACTAGCTTGGGAGGGAGGTTGTTGCCATCCAGATGAAATTCTACAGACTTGGTCCGACTCACAACCCTGCAAATTCAGTTTAAAAGGAAATTGTTAAAGTGCGGTGTAGAATTGCTTTACTTGAGTTACCCTCTTGTGAGCTTGTAGAGTTAACGCAACGATCACAACATGTAACAGATTGAACCAACTATAAATTATGTCAATTATGTGGACTTTGGCAGGATGGTGCATTTAGACTTTAGTGTTCACGCCATGGGTCGTTCTGACATAAGTTTGTCTGTTACCGACCTATAGCCAACAGTGGACCAAATTTTAACATTGTAAAACATTACTCAGTGTTGGCTACAGTTTGGTGACAGCGAAACAGTTACATCCCAAGTTTGATTCGAAATGAAACCTACCTTTCGCCAGGCATGAGTAGAAGTCTTCCGGGTCCATTAGATGCAGTGTTAACTGACATCTACTGGTGCTAGAGGGAAATAATGTTTAATCTATTACACAGACACATTATTTAAATCAAGTTCGTTAATCAGGATATTATTAGAGAATATGATACGTCGTATTTCATCAGGATGAACAATATCAGCCAAGCGCGCGGCGCGCACGATTTGCGAAATCGACTGAAATGAGGATAAAGATTTTCAATACACCATCGTCTTAGCGCCTTACGGGATAAACGGGCTGACTGTAGTACCGCCCGAAAATGAGATCATGAACTTTGATAATAAAACAGATCGCCTGTCAAGATTAGTAAAATTGGTCAACCATTTAATCATATACAATATTATAGCTCAAGATAAAACGAATTAAGTGTCCCAAATATATTTCCAATCCTCTATTTCCCCCAGATCCATTTGGTGAAGCCTAAAATACCCGAAGATTCCTTTTCGACCCTCTCTTCGAGATCCGGGAATTCTGAAATGTGGGATGATGAAAAGTCATAAAATGGAGTTTAAAATAACTACTGATATTTTGACTCACAAATCACAATGGAAATGAATAACAAACTCAAAACAAAATACTGGTTACCTATATGATTGAGCGAGATATCAAAGAAAGTGGGTTTGCAAGGTATAGGCTGGAAATCTGGAGGTAGCGTGGCTATCGTGGGTAAATCGCTCTCGTTCTTTAATATTTTAAATTCTTCCAAACTGTCGGCCAGCATCTGTGGATGAATATTTTAAGAGAATGTCAACATTAAGCTACAATCTCGCCAGGCCGCAAAGTAGCAGGTAAAAAAAGTCAATTATTTGGAATGATCGATAGATTTAAATTTTTACGATGCAATCAATGCTACTTTCTTGCTCTTGATGGCAGGAACAACGTCTATAGACATTTACATACCTTGTTTTTATCAGATGAAATCTCTTTCATTTCCTCTTCTACAAGTTGGGTTTGTAAGAAAGCGGAAGCATGTGCCGAACATCTCTGGCTGTATATCTGTTTACTTAACACTTGCAAATCTTCTATCATAGACTGAACAATTATTAGATTTAGTTAAATATCTTGGCTATAAACAACTGATCAGTTATAAAGAAATGTTAATTATTGGTATTCATATCAATATAATGTAAATGTTATCTTTACACTTTACAGATAAAATGTTAACATGCCACTTTCAACAAATCACGACATGCAAACAAAATGTGTCCTAAACAAAGTTACGTTTAAATTAATGTCAAGAGCTAAATAGGGGAACGAGTAGAACAGCCACACGATAGATTTTCCAGAAGCATCGGAAGATCAGTCAACAGGCCTTTAAACCTATCCGATAATGGCGTTGTCTGCTCTTATTCAGAGTTTACACGATAACATAGAACCAGATATTTCCTTCCGATATTTTAGAAATTAACTTATATAGCACCATTATACTAAAGTGACCAGAACTTACTACATATAATTTATTTAAACCTATATCATAACAAGAAAGTGCGAGAACTTAAGGGATTTTCTTTTACAACAGATACAAAGACAAATTATAAACAAATAGCATCACGAACCTGCTTGTTATCAGTAGATATTATTGTACTTGCAGAGTGTAAAAACGTGTACATCACTATTTTTCAATTAATGTATACAATACCATTTGAATGTAACCTGAATTCAGGTGTGTGTAATTTTAAATTTAGCAATTAAACTAGTATGAAGAAAGCCTATAATTCTATACAACAATTATAACAATTTTAGTGCCTGAAGGATGGCGTGACGCCGAAAAATTTAGCCCTTACTCCTAACATCCTTGTCTTCACTTGTCCTTGTCTCACTATCACAACCGGATAATATCCATATATCAGTACTCAATATTATTCGTAACTAATTTATAACCGAGAGACCACATTTTGAATCGTAATCAATAGTTTGGATCCATTATATTTACTACGCTACAATTAATTAATGCTAGTCGACTAAATTGTCAGCCCAAGATACCAATCATACAATTCATATGATCCTGGTTAAACCAATCAACTATTCACCTGTTGCCTTGATCAGGGGATACTGTTATTATACAGTATATGATCTGGTATGACAGTGGTCGCGGACCGTGGGTCGCGGACCGTGATCGGGCTATCTCGAAACTGCCATAGGACCAATGGCATGAGTGTAGGAATCAAAGATTGTGCTCCAGGAAAAAGAAACCAAGCTTAATAGAACCGAACGGAAACTACAGGAAGTGACTGAAACTCTAAACGACACCTCTAACAGAACTGAAATGGGACCAAGGCCAGAGTGGTAAGGAAATCAAAGATTGTGCTCCAGGAAAAAGAAACCAAGCTTAATAGAACCGAACGGAAACAACAGGAAGTGACTGAAACCTAACGACACTTAACAGAACTGAATGGGACAAAAGCAAGTGTTAGGGAATCAAAGATTGTGTCCTCCAAGAAAAAATGAACAAGCCCCTTAATAAACCGAACGGAAAACTAAGAAGTGACTGAAACTCTAAACGAAACTCTATCGGAACTACATGAAAGGACTACAACTCTAACGTTACGACACTCTATCCGAACTAACAGTAAACTGAACACAGAACTAAATGGGAACCAAAACAGAGTGTAGGGAATCAAAGATTTGCTCAGGAAAAATAAACCAAGCTAATAGAACTAACCGAACGGAAACTACAGGAAGTGACTGAAACTCTTAAACACACCTCTAACAGAACTGAATGGGACCAAAGCAAGTGTAAGGGAATCAAAGATTGTGCTCCCAGGAAAAAGAAACCAAGCTTAATAAACCGAACAGAAACTACAGGAAGTGACTGAAACTCTTAAACACACTCTATACATAACTTAATGGGACCAAGGCAGAGTGTAGGGAATCCAAAGATTGTGCTCCAAAAAAAGAATCCAAGCATTAATAGAACCGAACAGATAACCTTACAGAAAGTAACTTGAAACTCTAAACGACACTCTAAAAAACTGAATGGGACCAAAGGCAAGAGTTAAGGGAATCCAAGTATTTGTGCTCCAGGGAAAAAGAAACCAAGCTTAACAAACCGAACAGAAACAACAGAAATAACTGTAAACTCTAAAAAACGAAACTCTATCGGAACTACATGAAAGGACTACAACTCTTAACGACACGCTATCCAAACGAACTAACTAGGAACTAACACAAGAGACTAAATGGGACCAAAAGCAAGTGTATGGAAAACAAGATTAGTGCTCCAGGAAAAAGAAACAAGCTTAATAGAACCGAACGGAAACTACAGGAAAGTGACAGAAAATCTTACGGACACTTAACAGAACTGAATGGACCAAAGCATAGTAAAAGGGAATCAAAGAATGTGTTCCAGAAAAAGTAATACCAAGCTTAACAGAAAACCGTAACAGAAACACAGAAGTGACCTGAAACTCTTATGAACTCTTTTTTGATGGAGGCTAGAATCTAGGAAACTGTTTAGTAGATGGGACGTTCTTGTTCACTCCCTCCTTACCTGAAAAGCTCTTTACACGGCAGCTCTACAATCAACTGACCACTGGGTAAAGATGGGTAAATCTTTCTTACTTTTTTAACTTTTCCATGAAATGTATAATTGTTGGTATAATTGCATAATTGTTTCATATTATCATTATTTAATAACAACGTGAACCAAAAAAGCTCATACCACTGTTGACCTGACAAACTTATAACATTTCATAGGATTTCATTGGGTTAACGTTACAGTGGGACTAGGTGAAGCATACAAAAACAACACCACAGAGGAACAAGATGACCACTGAAAATTGCGAGAGGACTGAAACAACAACTACTGTTTTATCTACTATTGAAGTTTTAATTAAGTGCATGGTACACTGTAACCTTTTGTCCATTGGGCCCTGTAATCGTCTGTAATCATCTGTAATCAACATTAGCTGTAATATTTAACATTACTAATATACTGTTATCAGCTGTTACTAATAACTATCACTAATATTATTCTTTAGTGACTGTATTACACTGTACTGACTAAATATGACGAAAACATTTATAAGATGAATAACGATTTACATATAATGACTAAAATCCTTTGGATTTTAAGCTGTGTTCAAACTGTTAACATTAACATTTGACGAAATCAACACTTATTATAAAAACTCCAACTAATCATCTGTCAGCTGTTCTTAAGACTTTATGAGGTCTTAAACCCTACCAACATTACTTTTAGAGCGGAACTGAAGCGGTACGACAACAATTGTACCAGATAAACAACTGACCGCTCTTTTGATCTTGAAGTTAGCGACCCGTCCTAATAATTACTAAGTAACTGGTAAAAGGACGACTTTAGGATCAATATTTTCGGTGCCTCATCAAATATATTATAATACCTGATAAAAAATATCAGTAGCAGGGTCCTTCATACTTTTTAAGCTACACCTCTGGAATAAGTCCAAAATTAAAACTGTTTATCAACAACCACGACAATAAGGGAGAAATAATGCAAGATGAAGTCATAATGGATTCTTATTGATGATTTCTATCGCTTTTTACTAGGACACTCCTTACATCTACCGAGCTGTAACGTCTAGTGGATATTACTACTGAGTATCAATATTCTGTCTACATGGGTATGTTAGGAGGTGAATAAGAAATGTACGTATAGAAAAATGTCTTCCTTCAAAATATCACCAATCCGCATACACCTACATATGGCATTTTTATAGAGTAAATATAATGCTATGGAGGATCATATACCTTACCTACTACATTAGGAGTAAGTAAGTAAGTAAGAAAAGATTATGACATAACATCATCACAATGTCTACAAAATTTCATTAGCACTAATAAAAAAATAATTAAATAAATATATTTTTCCATCAACAATAAATAATTTATCAAATTAAAATTTAATTAATTAATAAAATCAAATACATTAACTATAAGTAATTAATACATTAATACTTTCCCAGGAATAAAGATTTATTAACGCTTCTTTGCCACAAAAGGAGAAACCAAAGAAATTCATTATGTGTCTCCTTATTGCTTAAATAACTGGGTCCTTCATTTTCCCTAAAACATCATTCGAACAATTCCAAAAATAAAAACAATACACTGTTTTTTAGAAAACATTTCTTTCTTAGATCCATCCAATCTAACTTTTAAAGCTTTAAAACTGTCGAGCAGTTTCTATGACATTCTTTAAGGGAGTTTGTTCCAGTATAGGAATGGACTCCTCCGGCGAAAAGAAGACTGGAGATTCTTAACTTTAGTTTACACTCTTATTACACCTAATTGGAGTTGAAACCGATTAAGACATGTCAACTTGACTCATGTCTGAACAAACCCGATCCATATACAGGTCCTAAACCACAAGTGTTACTTAAAAGCTTCAATAAGGTCCCCATGAATTTCGCCTCTCTGCAGCGTTTGTCCAAATTGAGGATATCCAGTCTGCAGCTGTATGGATAGAGTACCCAGACCTCATCAATAAAGACGGGTAAACCGCCTCTGGACGCTCTACCAGCTCCAAAACAGACCCCAACTTCATGAGCCCGCAACTGGCTTCCCAATAGGTGTGAGATGTTAGTAAAAATAGGTATCGTGAGTTTAGTATTATTGACATGTGTATGACGTAATTGTGTGGATAGTACCCTACAAACGTTTCAACATACTCTCGCATTATTGCAACAAATTCATATTCAACACAAGTAAAGAAACTCTCAGAGATCTAATGTTTCATCACGACCACACGACAAACCACACTGCACCATACCAAACTGTATCATATGTCCACTCATCACAACAAAATCACGACTGCGAGGTGACCCAAATATTTGGTAATAATCTATTTATATCTCAATTTTTACTCTGGTAGGCCCCTTGCACACATGATTCTCTTCTGCCACGAAACATGGCTAACCTTTCAAACTATGATTTAAAAAAAACCTAAACAAAAAACTCAACGGGGTTTTCCCTATTCACCAAACTAGACAAATAAGCAATTTTAGCTTAGATTTTTATATTTTTCTATATTTGTATAATAAGTTTTTTTTTTGA